ATTTGGATGCAAGTTTTTTTAAATGCATGAAACAACCTACGTGGAGGAGAGTAAGATGCGTAACATGAGGTCAGGCAGAGTCTTGCTTCATGCACCTTGCCACTGGACAGCCTGCACACATACCTTCTGGCCTTCAGTCAGACATAGATCCAAGCACTTGTTCAATTTGCTAGGAGACTTTGAGCTTCGTACCTCTGCCTTACAGTGACACATAATAAGTGAACACTGGGACCTGTCAAACCTTGGCATGTATGTATAAATTCCTGAATAATGTGTACTTTACCACATTACAGTAGGGAGAGCCAAACCCAGTGCTCTGTTGTTTCATGGCAATCCCTACGGAAACCATGTGAGTGCTGGAAGTGGTGGTGTCCTCGGGGTTACCTCCATGGAGTGTTTGTGTTTTAAGTGGAATTTTTTAGTTCGGAGGCTGGCCTCCTAGGAGGGGCTCTCACTGCTGTGATTTAGTGAAGAACAGGGCACCACACACTGATCCCATCTGGCCAAGGGACAGGAATGCGGCCTGGCCTCTGTTTTGGAGTAGTCAGTTCTTGTCTGCAGTCGGGTGACAGGAATCGGGATCTCCAGAGCTTTGCGCACGTCCGTCACTATCCTATTTGTTTTGCTACGGAGTTTCCTGTGGTTTTCGGCTCCGTCGGAGCTGCTGTGATTGCCAGATAAGTGTGTTTGGCCGTGGGTGCGGCTGAGCCAGAGGAGGGTGCCACTACAGAGGTTTTGCTTTGGGATATTTTTAGCTGGAGGAATAAGCACGTGCATGAGGGAGTTTTCCTGATGAACCACACGATTTCAGCACACTGTGGAGTTCACTGTGGTGTGAGATTAGCTGCACGTTGCGGATACGAATAAAAACAAATGATACCTTTAAGTTGGCAGGCACTAACCTTGACCAGGAGCCCAAAGGGTGGCTTAAGTTAACTCGCATACATACAGATGAAAGCTGAAATTTTGTAAGCAAGTTTTGACAAAGGGGAAGGACAATTGCTGCATGAAATATAGACACAGGAAAGATTTACAGATTGTAAAAGCAATTCAGTTTAGCATATTAACACACATGATTTTTAAAGATAAGTTTACAGAAGAAAAATTGACAGTCCAAAGATAACTGTTTAAAAAGTTGTCTTCACTTGAGGGATCTTTCTGTGTAGTTATTTTTTGAAGGTATTTGTACCTTGGGGTTTCTACAACATCACTTGGGAGTAAGTTATGAAATTTAATAGGGCAATGCATGTAAAAATAATTCTTTTTGATTCTGCTGCCTGCTCATTTCATCAGGTTACCTCAGTTCTCAAGTTCTGAGAAATAATAAATAATCATGGTCATCCCCTGGTCACCTTCTTTGTACTTAGGCTTTTCTAAATTTACCCATTTTTCAAGACAAAGAGTCTTCATTATTTTCATTCTTCTCCAGTCACCCTTTCTCACTCTTTTTCACTTGTGCTGTTGAATATTTTTTATGTTGGAGGAGGAGGAGTGAACAGAGCTGCACTCAGCAGAGATGTGGAGAGCTTTATTCACTGGCCTATTGTGTTGCCCATGTTCCTCTCACTTCTTTTCTCAATGATTCCTTACATTCTTTTTTCTTTCTGTCAGTGAGTACTGAATTGATGTTTTTCAGAGAATGACTCTACAGTATCTATAATGACTCCAAGATCTCCTTCATGAATGGCAAGAGTATATTTAGACTTCTTTTTTCCTATATCCTTTGCTTTACAAATATCAACACTGAATCTCACCTGCCATTTTGTCATCCCATCGTTTGTGAGTTTCTTCAGCTGTTTTCAGTGTCAGCTTTTGCTGCAGCTCTTGAGTACAGTTATATGTCAGAAGGCACTGCTGTTTTGGAGTTCACACCTTTTCCAGATGATTAATGCTTGTACAGAACAGCAGAGTTATCTTAAAACCACATCAGTAACCTCAACTCGTTCATTAAAATTATGGTGACTACTTATTCCTAACCTTTATTTCATAATTGTTAGTCACTTATTAAACCACAATAGGAATTTTTTTTTTAAGAGTTTATGGTGAGGAATGTTATAAACAGGATTTCAAAAACCCACTACATAATAATGACCAAATTATCCTAATCCTTGTGTTTGTTGTCTGCTTTAGAAACTCTGACAGACATGTAGACATGACTGCCCTTTAAAGAATTTACAGCTCTTTCCATATATATATTTGAACTCGGTAATTAATCTCATTCCCCAGTATACCTGCAACCAGTCTGAAGGTCAGGATTCTTGTTGTTCCTTTCCCCAGGACACCTTAGGGCACCTCACCAATTGAGATCACATGTGTGATCCCCACTGCTCCTCAGCCTGATTCCAGACCACAGCCATTCAGTACATCTGTGCTTCACTTCTCCTTGTCCGTCAAACCTGGTGGGTTTTGCTGTTCTGTTGAGTCATTTCTTTCTGAAATGCCATGTTTGAACCAGATCCACAGCCTCATTCCTTGTGAAGAAACAGCCACACTCAGTGCTTTTCCTAAAAATAAGTATGGAGCAGACAACGTAGAAAGCCGATTCATACAGATTCATACCTTCTTCCTCCTTTTATTTGTTTGGGAGCAGTTGCATGATGTCTAATCCCATGGGAATTTGTATAAGAGTTGCTGGATTTGGCCAAATCCTTGATTAGATGCTAAAACTGTTCCTGGTCTTCTGCATCTCCCAGTCTGCATGAACTACCCAGGGATCTCTGAGGACAAAATTGCAATGCTTCTTCTTCTGTGTGCTTCTAAAACAAACAAACAAACAAACAAACAAAACTAGAAAACCACCTAGAAATAGACCTATTAGCCTATAGGCTTTTGTGGTATTTCCATTCCCATTAACTTTTACATCACTTTCCACACATGCAGGCACTCCTTCCACAAGATTCCTCCAACAGTGGTAGTTTTAATCTTGAATCAGAGATTCTGTATAATTCTCTAGTTCCTTTTATTTATTTATTTATTTATTTTGGCTTGTTCTGCCAGCATTAGAGACCTTCTGGGTCTATTTTAATGCTGCACATCTTTCTCTCTCTGGGAATTTAGACGGGGGAATTTGTTGAGGCTATAAAGGTATACATCAGATGTGAGGATTACATCTTTGGTTCCTCAGATGCTCCGACCTCACAGTACTGAGTTCACTTGGCCTGCCTCAGTTATTTATCTGAGAATCTGTTGTCAGTGATTTTAAGAAAATACTAATCTCAGTTTTCTCATTTTCAAAATCTGTTAAAGAAATTATAAAGCCAAAATTCAACTCCTGCATGTTCAGTTTAAATATACACACTGTTTTCATTATAAATATATTGAACATATATATGTGAATGAATGTACTAAACATGTAGCAGTTGAATTACAGTATGCATTTCTCATATGTGCCTATGTAGATATATAATAACATCTTCTCAATCATTTGTCCTAAAGCATGGAGATGGATTGCCAACTACACTGACACATTCACGTGTATGCTTTCTTTCAGATTATTTTTTTTTTGTTTCTCATGGATAAAATAAAAAGTACCTCACTATTTTTCTCCACCCTCCATAGGCACTTGCTTCTGTTCCTGTGTGCCACAATCACTTGTGCACTCGTGCAGATTTTCACTTGACCCAATATGGTAAACATATTCTTGGTCTCCTCTTCAAAAGCATATACTGGGGAAAGGTCTTTACTTATTTCTTCTTGTGATATCTTTCATTTGTAGTTGGGTAACACATTCATTCATACGACAGTAACCTGGAATGGAGCCTACTTTCTAATATGTTCCAAGTCTGGAACAAATAAATATAAAACATCTCCCCCACACACACTTCTGCCGGTTAGCATGTGGTAATTAACACTTGTTAAAATGACTAAAATTTCAAATGTGGACATGCTCTGTGAGAAAACCTCAGAGTGATTATACTGTGAGTGTTTCTGTCAGAAGATAATAGGTATTTTTAGCAACCCATCTCACTTTTGTATGAGTTTTGTCACACCCCAATCAAAAATAAATAAATAATCAACTTTGGATTCTTTGCAGTCCTGTTTTTCCATTGGTTGGGACATCAGCATTTTCACATTCATGAAGATTCCTTTTTTGTTGTTTCCATCCCTGTTTCAGCGAGAATTGTTGACACTAAGCTACTCCAGATTCCTGGGATTGAAAGGGTCTGGAAGAGGGTCAATGGGCCACAGCAAGGAGATTGCTCACCGGATCCCCTGGCATTGCACACAGCTCATGGGAGGGAGGATACTTCAGTGGAGACAGCAGACGGGATCTGTTGGGTTTTACAGTGATTTTCATTTTTTTTGAATAGGTGGAAATAATTACCAAGATGCACAAAAGCACAGGTTCTAATCAATGCTAGATAAAAGTCACTGCTTGTAATGGGGCATCCATCATTATTAATTTCAGAGTTTAGAAGGCACTGGGAGAAATCTCTTCTCCCAAATGAGTTCATTGTATATATCATTATAAAATGGAGTGAGGTGCAGTGAGGGCAGTGAGGTGCAGTACAGGGCAGTGAGGTGACAAGTGCAAAAGCAGAGTAGACTTATGGTCAGAATATTTTGTATTTATTTATTTGCTTGCGACTGGATGTGTGCAGCTGCAATGGGCAAACCTGGCTGATCTGGTACAGAGGCATTTTTGGTTCTGTGGTTCTGCCCTGGTGGCCAAAGGTGAGCACAGCCCTGTTGGGAAAGACTGCAGAAAAGTATGGAGAAGTATAGCAGAAGTGAGAGTTAAACAGCTTTTTGACTAGCAAGGCAGCTTTCAAGATTCGGCCTGAATGAGAGCTGCTGTGCTGGGGTGGTGGTGAAACGAGACCAGTAATTATCACTGGCGGTCTTACAAGTGAGGAGCTTATGGTGCTCATGTGATACCAAGTGTTCGTTGTGTGCTGAGCAGTTTTCTGGAAGCCTTGGCTTTGTTTTCCCTTAGTGCTGAGAACAAAAAAGAAACATTGCACGGAAAGTGCAGAATGGATCCAAAAAGAACAATGGGATTGTGCTTGATTTGTTTAATTCTGAAATCAAGGTCACTTAGAAGTACTACAGCTTTTATTTGTTTTATTGTTTTTTTAAGGATTTTTTTTTTGGCAACATCTTTCTTTTCATTTGACGGCCCTGTCATCCCAGAACTGTATACGTTACTGATCCTGCCTGTATTCAAAGCTGTTATTAAGTGGAGTCTTTTAGATTTTAGAGAAATGATAATGGTTCCAAAGATGACAGAAAGTGGCAGCTGGTGACAAAAAACCCCCTTGATAAGACGACAACAGTAAATCAAACTACTGCCACTTTTTCGTTTCATGTTTGTTAATACCACCTCGCCTTTTGAAGTTTAAAGCAAGGTTCAAAAGAGCCAGGTGCTGAATCATAATATTAAAGCAAGTAAGGAGCTCCATGAAAGAGAGGAGATCTGAGAGGGGAAAGCAACAAACACGGCTTTCAACTGCCTTTTGTCGGCCTTTCTGCAGATGTCACCAGTTGTTATCCCCAGCAGAGGCTTCAAGCTTGTAGCAGTGCCTCTGGCTGATTCCAACTCAACGTTTCAAGTGTCAATCAAAAAGGAAGGACGCAGCTTAGGTCCTGGTCATTGTCCTGTGAAAAGAGCCAAGCATTTAACATTGATTTAGCTCCCTCAATATACAAAGATAGAGCCAGCTTTGTGCAGCGAAAGGGCCTTTGGCAAGGTTGCTTGTAGAGCAATTCCATCGCATCCGATGCTCCTTGGTTTAGCTGTCACACTGCAGTGTCTGGAGTCCTATGAAAAGTTATTCAGGAATGAGTGAGCAAATTAAAAAGAAATAACATGCTCCCCTAAATAGCAAAGCAAGCTATAGAAAGTGCTCTTAACGTCATTTAGCCCTGAAAAGCATTTTTAATAAAAGTATTTTGTGCTTTTAAATGCCATTTAACAAGGAGAATAAGATGTTTCAGGACAAGAGGGGACTCTTGTGAAACCCATCTCCACTGGCTGAGATAACAAATTGTACCCACAAAGTGCTTTTGGTCAAGTGCTTGCTGTTTTTGCTTTTGAGCCACTTGCATTCACTGCCATCCTCAAACTGCATTGTTCTTCCATGTGAGTGTCAAGTATAGCCCCAAATCTAACAACAGCAAAAAAGCCCTGCCTGATTTCCACTGATGCCCCACATTCCTGCTCTCCTGTCCTGCCATCTGTCAAATTCCTGCCTGCCTCTCTCTCACAATCTTCTTTAAAACACCAAGGCAATTATTTCATTCTCAGCCGTGGTGTTCCCCATTGTTTCGTGCCAGCATTGCTGATGAGGCACGGGAGTCACTTGGCTTTGTGACAGAAATGACCAGTGGGTGGCTGTGCTTGGGCTGTATGGGCAGGGCCCTAGTGGGGACAAGTTCTCGTGAATGCTGGAGAAACCACATCATTGCCCTTAAAAAAACTGTCAGGGTAGGTTTAAACTTTGCACCATTAAATAACGTCAGATTTGTGTAAACAGATTTTTACTGTCATTTGCTCATAAGCAGGGCTCTTCTTTATGGGGTTTTCAGCATCTAAACTATCAAACTCAGCACAGTAGCAGCATGCTAAGCCATCCTGCCCAGATATCACAGTGGCAATAGTCTTGATCCATCACAATTCTTGTACTTTGATCAGAGAAGGAAAGTAATTTAAAGATGGGGAAAATGTTCCCCTTCTGCCAGATCATTATTGCTACTGTTGTCTGCTTTGCACAATGCTTTCTCCCAACATTTTCATCCTCCTCTGTGCAGAAATACTGGTTTAAAATCACGGGGAATGTCAGAAGAAATAGAACACTTCTGTGATGTCAATCACATTTCAGAAGCTTGTTTTTCTTTTTGAAAGGCCAGTTTTCTAGTCAAGCCTTCCTAAGCAAACTCACAACCACTGTGGGTACTGTAATGCCCAAGGTACCCAGTGGTGTGGGTGTACAGTAGTGCTCTGCCTGCCCTGGGGCAGGGTGAGCCACTGCTCGCATTCCTGCAGCCCGCTCCCTGCAGTCCTGCTGCCCGCCTTATCTGCAAGTTCGAAATATTCAAATAGAGGGACTGGCAGGAGTGGGTGTATTTTTAAATAGACGTATCATTACAGACACACTTCTTTTTGTGTTCCTAGAAAGGAGAAGGCATTTCTAACGGCCCCATTAGCTGGCACTTCACCAGGCAGCTGAAGAACACAAGACTCACAGAGCTGAGGAAGCGATGCAGTTTTGTAGACTTTCACTGGGATTTTTAGAAACAAAATATTTGCTCAAATTTAGCTCATGTTCACCCTACCCCCTTTCTTTTTTTTTTCCTTTTCTTTTTTTTCCCCCCTCTTTCTGTTGAATTTGCTCACATAAAATATGTGTTAGCTTTAATGGCCCCCATCTTATACTTTGTCAAAGGATCAAGGCAATAGACAATGTTTGCTTCTCCCCAGCCCCCCGCCCACTGTTGTGCCATGCCTCCCCCAGTGCCAGGAGCACCCCTGCCCACATGCTGGTTCTGCTTTCCCACCCATGATGGTACAGCCACAGCAGCCTACCCAGCACAGCTCCTCTCCTCTCCAGCATCAGGGAAAGCAGGAGGCAGACAGGGACTTCTTGCCCCTTGGCTGTGCTGAGCATCCCAGAGCGTTCTCCAGGCTTTGGATTAGGGATCTATGAGGTACATGTATCAGGAACAGAAATCAGAAATAAGCAAGAAAGCTTAATTTTTGGTTACATGTATTTACAAGGCAACGACTAGGTGAATAATCCAGCAACTTTTTCCCCTTCATGGCTCTAAGAGAGTGCACAGTTCCCATGTCATCTATATAGCCTGAAGCTCAGAGTGTGATCTGGACTTGAATTCATACTATTCTTGGGAGACACCAGTGACTTTGTACATGCACAATCTGAGAAGGCTGCTTGGAGACATCTATGTAGGGTCCATGTAACTAAATCAAACACAGAACAGCCTGTTCTCTACAGCTCCCTAAGGAAAGCCACCAGAGATGCTCCTGCTCCCTCTTCCTGCCCACCTCTGACATTCTCTACTCCAGTCACGGGGGACATTGTGATCCTTGTGATCACAGAAATCCTTGTGATTTCTGGTTACAGTTCTTGCATTGCACAGGCATGTGTTCACTGAGAGGCAGAGACCCCACCACAGTTTTCTTTTTTTCTGTCTTTTCACTGTTGAAGATCAAGTGCTATGTCGCTGGCACAGTACAGCATTCTGTCTGGAGGCTCGTAAATTGTTTGGAAAAAAGTCCTGAGAATAGGAAATTGCACTGAAGTAGAACTAGAAGTGCACCTGTGCATGTGTGTGAGGGAGAAACAAGGATGAAAATGAGCTGAGGATGCTTTATCCTAAATCAAGCATTATAAAGCTATGAAACCAAGGACTTCAGTGAGCTTAAAAATAAATAAATAAATAAAATAAGGTAAGGTGGTAGCTTTGCCATTTCTTCACAGTAAGACTGAGAGGAAAAAAAAATAAAAAAAAATAAAAATGAAGACAACATCATCTGAATCTAAGTTTGGGTCATGGTCACTGAAATGTCTCATTCACAGCTGTGGTAGCACAGATCAGAAATCAGGGCACAGTTATCATCTGTCGCGTCTTGGTGGCCTAACCTTTCCAGGGTGTTTTCCATCCCAGCAGTCCCTGGTTTCCAGTGAGTGCTTCTGGCCGCGCTCTTCCAGCAGCACTTCTTTCTTCCTTGTTTTGCTGGGCCAAATTCAGTCTTAGTTCAAGCAAGTGCACTTTTCTTGAGGGTGCTGGAGGGACCCAGTTTGCACAAGGATAAGACTTGGCTGACCTCCACTGCTGAACGGCTGTTCAAGGCCTGCTAATACACTTGTTAAACCACCTTTGTTTAGCCATTATTGTTTCTTTGGGAATTAAAAAAATCTCTCTGACAGTTTTCCTACCTTGCTTGCTTCCACCACCACCCCCTTCGCACTGGGACAAGGCTTTTGTTTCATTCCCCACCCACAATAACTCACTTACACCACTCTGCCTTCTCAACCTGTTCACTCCTAGCCCTCCTGTTCTTCGTGTGAACGTTTTTAAAGATCACATATGTGAGCCATTCATTCTCCTTGGGGGTCAAAGCAAAACAAGTGTCAGGAGAAATTTTCTATGAGCAAGTAGACATAAGTACATTGCAAACCAGTTTCAAAACTTTTTGAACAACAGTGCCACATACCACATCCTTGGAGGTCATGAGATAATGCATTTGCATTCTTCGGTATTGTGAGAGTAATGTTTCTGGCTGCCATTGTGTCCGATGGAAATAATGGCTTCTGGTCACCGCAGGTTAGTAGATGCACACAGCAGACTGTATCACATCAACTTTGCTAATGCAGAAACCATTGTACATCTAGACGTTTCTGCCTTAACCATGAAGAGTAATTGCCTAAGTGTTTCATTGGAAAAGATGGCACAGTCCTGGGAGTGTCAGGGATGTAGCATTCACAAATCAATTCATAATTTCATTTTATAGAAGAATGTCATTTTTTACTATAATCGCAAAGTATCATCTTGCATAAGTGCCTATTATTACCATTGTTAAGGGCTATGGCACAGACAAATCAAGTTTAATTTGTTTTTGTTTCAGATAGGAGAACTCCGTGTTTTCACTTTTTCTTCATTTGCAAAATCTTAATGTATGTAGTCCATGGTGAGCATTTGCATTCACCTTTCCCACACAAATACTCTCTTTGGTCTAGCAATTTTCGTGCAACTTAATTGATGTCAGACAACAAAAACCTAAATTACAGGCATTGTCTTCTTCATTTGTCAGGCAAAAGTTTTATGGTCAATCGACATTTTCCAGAGATGGTGTGACTACAGGAAATATCAGTACATTGTTTTGCAACTATTTTCAGTGACTCTAATGATAATTGCGGCTCAACTATGGATGTCATTTTCAGAGCTACCAGGGATCCACAATCACAGCTTGAATCATCTTTGTAATTAGAAACATAAGCAGTCCGAAATTAATAGCCAAACCTAAAGGGATCCTCTCCTGCAGGACTCTTCCGAAAGTTAAGCCCATTTATTCATCATGACTTGGTGGCAGAGCTAATTTTCAAAGGAAAGAGTCTCCAACTTCAGACACCTCCTCTAATTTGATATCAGGACTGCCTGGTTTCAGCATTATTGTCCATTTACCATGCTTAAAAAAACAAAGCAATCTTTCTGGGACCATCTCTGTTTAATTGCTACACAGCAAAAAACAAAGGAAATTCTAAAGCATAGATTTATATTCACTAGGAAGACAGGAGCCAACAACTGAATTGTGGTTGCCTATCTAACTGAGAATATCACCACAAACACACAGAAGGGACTGTGGCCACCACTGTATCAGTCTAGAGCTCTCTTACAAGGTAGTTTTGTCACCTCTGTGTTCAAGCATGTTTATTTTGTATTGAATAAATAAATATATAATGGGCGAGTGAAGGATGGGAAATCCCAGGATAACCCAGGCTGGTCTAAAGAGTACATGTTCCATCTCTTTGCTAGTACAAAGAGAATGAATACTATTATCTCAGTCTTGATGCTCTAAGGCTATGTATGAGGCAAGGTTTTGCAGAGAGAGAAGTAACGTGTTAGGCCAACTGATCTAACAGCAAGCCATCAGGTTCATAGACCCTCACCCTATTCAGTATTGGACCTGAAGAAGGGTTCCTATCTGTCTTTTTCCAGCATGTTTTCTTTTTCCAGCTAAAACTATTCACTGAGAACTGCATTTGCCGATAGCTTTGGCTGCTTTGAAATGGCATTTTTGTCTGATTCTTTATACTGATCACCTCTATCAAACATATCCCATATGGCTGTTATCAGCAAGCCGCTGGTTCCATGGTAGGCACCAGACTACCACTTAAGTTTCTCATATGCTTGTCCCACAGTCCCACTAGCTTTTCAGTCTTTGAAATGGTATCCATCTTCATCGTCCTTCTGCTTGCCGGCATGCTGCCACCTATACACTACTCCTCCATTCCTCTCCGACTAGTTTTTATCTCATTGCTCATGCAAGTTGCCGTGATGTTAAATAACGAGCTCACAGCCAGAATTACTCTGTGTAAGTGTAATAAAATTGTTTAGGCAAACTCCTCAGAGAGCTAATATAATTCTGCTCAATCTTTCTATATGACAGCGTTAAACCTCAGTCATCTTTCTCCCTGTGAGTTTTTTGGTTTGTAGTGCACTGTATTACATTCTCCCTGCCTGGGATCACCAACACCAGACTGGTGCTCTCCTTCTGCTAGCACTCTCCAATTTGCCTTTCAGGATTCTTTTTATGTGCCTTCCAGACTCTGCACCTTTAAGGCACTCTCTCTCTCTCTCTTTTTCCTAAAAATTTATCTAGAACAAGTATAAGAAACTTTGCTTTTGTTGTTTTCTAAACAAAAGTTTGAATAAAAGTTGCATTTTCAAGGTATTTATAGAAATCTAAGTGGAAAGTGTTAGGAAAAAAAACACTAAATAAAGATGCCTATTAAAATTTAAAGAGTATAAGGCTTCAACAGCTCTGTCATGATACATGAATATGTAGTGCATATTGAGTACACACATATAATCTTAGTATTACATGTATGAAGTTATACATACATATGTGACTGAAGATCAGATGTTAACACTGCCTTTTAAAAATATTGATCAAGAAAAATAAAGCTGGTAATTAATGTCATTAAACTGTGTCAAAATATTTTCTCTTTAACATAGCATTAACAATTAAGCTAGCATGAAATGTATCAAATATAATTATCATATGACTTAATGAGTCTGGTTTCCACTTTTTTTTTTTTTTTTATTAGTCTAGTACCCATCAGCCAAAGTTTTCTGTGCATGTGAAAGATGTGACAAGATGGCACAGGCTAAAGTATGCCAGGATGCATATGCCTGTTTGATCTTCACATCTGCAGGAATAGCCAACTAACTCTATCACTGGCATTACCAGTTCAGTTCAGCCTACGATCTGGCTCCTACTGTGTTTATTATTAGATGGAATGGATGAGAATATATTCATTTTCTGCTGAACTTTTTGATGACCTTGCTCTTTCTTCCTTTCTTTCCATTTCTCATACCCCATCCAAAATTTGTTCTGCAGAAATTCAATGCCCCTGCTTTTTTTCTTTCCTCTCTTGAATCTCAATTGCAAAGCCAATGAGATTTCATCATGGCTTATATGCTCTTCCACTTGCTATCTGTAATCACAGTCATTGTGAAACTCAAAGCTAAGTCAAGAATTGTTGCCTTTTTATGGCTCCCTCTTTTATATATGTTGTGTTGGAGAGCGGTCGTTACCGCTTTTTTGTCATTATTTCTGGGCTTCACTCCATTAGCTAGTGAACAGGCCTTCTCTCATTGCTTTCCTTCAGTAAATACTGTAACATTCAGCTTCCTTTCAGGCTTGTGCTTTTAAAGAAAATCTTTGTACAATTAAAGATATGAAATTGCTAAATACAAGGCTGCATTCATTGTTCTCCCTTTTTAAAGGTTTAATCACACTTAATGGCTCTCTTGAAAACTTGAATTTTCCATGTTGATGGTTTTACCCCACTGAAAGAGTTTGCTAATATACTTTTCAAGTGTTTTCTCCTTAAATGAGCTATTCAAGAAGTTTTGTGCAGAATAAGATTGAGGAAGGATATATCCAGAAACAATTATGAAAAGGGTCCAGGGCTATCTGTTTATTCATTGGTGGAGATTCATGAGCTCAGCAGCAGTCAGAAATAGAAAAGAGAAAACAGAGGCCTGTCCAGCTTTGAAGAACACATCTGGAAATGTCTGATGTTCCTCCTATCAGACCAGTGTCAGAACAACTGTTGCTCCATCTTGAACCCTCCCAAGATGCAGCTCCTGTTTCCCACACGATGAGCACCAGTCATGGCAAGAACCAGGCTCAATGCACAGGCCAGAGAGTGAATGGTGCTGCCCCAGAAGCTTTGGTCCCGTGTGTCTTGTTCCAGTCACAGCCACCACCGTGTTCTCTAAGAGCACCTCACTGAAGATTGTAGACAAGACATAGACCGGGCACTCGTGCATTGTTTGACTTTGAGGTTTCACCGTGGCTGTTTATCACACTTAGGAATGAAGCCACGTGCCCTGTGAAAGCTCTGAAAACTTCCAAACACAGCATCCCATTCACCCAGTTGCACAAATTCCTTTGTTTTGCCCAGCATTTCTGTCTTGATAGTCAAAGCCCTTCAGGGTATTGGACTTTGCTTCCTGAGATATCACATCTCCTTCCACCAACATGACCTCCCATGACATTTGACGGGAACAGTCAGGACTGTGGACCAACACGGGGGAAGTTTGTGAGCTTACACAAAGAAATTCTCACAGCTCTTGGATCTAGATTTCGTCATTTGCTTTTGTCCTTCCAGATAACCATTGATTCCAATATATTCAGAACAAAACATGCACTTCTTTTGCTCCATACTTGTTTTTCCCAAAAAGTTTATAACCCCCTCCCCTCCCCCCCCGCAGATTTCCCTTCCCATTCAGTATGCTCAAAACCATAAACAGTACAAACACAAACCTTAGGGAACATCTTATAAACAACAGAAGAAGAAGGGAGACAGAGAACAAAATCATCTCTGCTATTTTATTTATATGTCTAAATACTTGGCAGTCACTCAGCTACTTTGGTAATGGAGGCTATATAAGTAGGTAGGTGCAAGGATAGTGAGATGAAGATTATAAATTAAATGTAGCTGGAGTAATATTTCATCTGTCTGTCTCAGGCCTGATACCACAACATAAATCCTGAGATACTTTAGATTAGATAGATGTGATATGCCAATCTCCACTTAAATATTTTGGGTCTGCTCCCAATAAAGTTAATGGAAGTAGGATCAGCTCTTTATTGGTCCCATGCTATCAGTGAGTTTTCACTTCCCATCAAGCAATTCATGTTCTGTATTACATTGATAGAAAAGCCTCATTGTGCTCATCTCAAAGTCAGCAGATTTTTTTTTTATCAGTGGGAGACCCACTGGGATATTAGTGCTTTCAGTTGAAACTCCCAGGCTTGGTTCATGTGGTTCAGAGCCCCTGTTTCTCACTGTGAGCAATATGGTGCTATGGTGCAAGCAAGTGCAATGAGCTCCCCAATGCTCTTCGGCTGGAGACACTGAGAGACACAAGACAGCTTCACAACATCTTCCTGCTCTCCCCTTCTCCAGTCCCAGGTGTGTCTGGAGCCCTGTTGGCACCAGGACCATCAACAGCAGCTTTTGGGCAGCTCTGCATTGGGATGGATTGAAACCATCATGGTATGCAGCATGGGGGCAAGAGGAGACGCAACAAGAACCCCCACACCACCTGGGGACTGTATGCTACAGGACTGCAGTCATCATACTCGGTTATGTTAAATGAGTCTCTCTGCTTGCACTCTTAGGCCATCTGGATTTGCTCAGGTGGCTGCGGTCAGAAATGGGATTTCCTAGCAGAGAGCCCAAGGAGGTGCAGGCGGAGTGCCCAGGGAGCACCCTCCCCAGGACAGGAGTTGGCTGTCAGATCACCTGCTGCTAATGACATCAATTTATCTAATAACCCTCTCGCTGTTCACTGAGGGAGAATTTTCAGCCCAGGTATCTGAATTATCGCTTACTACGAACTGAGGAGATCTGCTGGTCATATGGAGCTGAACGACAAATGCTGCACATGCCTGTAGCACTTCTGGGTTTGCTACATAAAACCATATAGCTGGGGAGCAGTAACAGGGTTGTGTGCTGTACCTAACAGGCCATTACAGAGCAGGTTTTCCGCATTTATGAGTAACCATTCCTGGAGGACTCTTGTTCAGGATAACAGCAAACAGCAAACACAACGCAGTGTTTTAATTGCAAAGCATTCAAACAGGAAAAGAGGAAATCCAGGGACTGAAGATCACTACGTGCCACATCCTGCCACTGGTACCCACAGTGGCCCTGTCTGGTCACTTGGGCTGCCCACAGAAGCACCGGTGCATCCCAAAGCACATGCCCCATGGGAACCCAGCACAGGCTTCAGGACAGCCGTGATTTCGGGCACTTTGCTGCAGACAGCTGCCGGATGGGCGGCAAGATAGTGCTCCAGGTGAGTGGCAAAACCCAGGTCTCTGACCTTTTTCCTCACAGATGGTTGATAGGCACGACGTGCTATCAGGTTTCTTATGACTGCAATAACACTTACTTCCTGAGTCATCCTGGGGTGGGCTGTGTCAAACGGCTTTGTCTGGTGCTCTCGCTCAGGTTTTCTTGTAGGTGCCGTGCTGGAAAATATTCGGTCCTTTATCATCTCAAATCCACCAGGAACACCAGACGAGGACATCTTTAAAGGCCATGTGCTGTTCGTTCAGTTTGTTTTCTTAAACACAGAGCATAGCCAAAGTTACTGATTAATTTCACACAGTACAAGGAAAACTATTGATTTCTTGTGCCTGCTTCTGACCCTTTAAGATATAAAAATGCAAACACATTGCTGAAAGAGAGTATTTATTTATTCCTTGCACCTGCTAACACATGACTTTAAAGCAATAAGAAGCTCTTGTTTGCTTTGTTTTGATAAACTCTAGCCCATTTGGTATTTCACTGAAACAATCTGCTAGCACACTCGTTTCCACGCTCTTCCTCCCATCGAAACCACCCTTCTGCGTGCAGCTCCGGGGCCCTCCAGCACTGCCAGAGTGCACACACAAGTGGTGGACCTGCAACTTTGCTGGCAATGTTTATTTTCAAAAGATAAATATTGTGCCAGCATTAACTTCAATTAGGAGACTTATTTGACAATCTGACTACTCCATCTGATGCCTCAAGGGCAAATTTCAGCACTTTATGGAAGATGTTGGCCGAAGACTGATCTATATGAATAAAATATAGAGGAGAGAAGTTTTAATGAACATTTGAAAACAAAACAGCTTTTTTTTTTTTTCAGGGTGTTTCTCCTTGCTCCTTAGGACTCAAAAGCTGCTATTTGAGCCAACAGAAGCTTCCTAGCTAGGGGAAAATTGTAAAAGTCAAAGCGTTTCTGAGTCAAAACAAAGGACAATGAGTTCAGCTTGTACTTAGGGACAGCACAGAGGGCAATCTGCACAGGATGCTGAAGGTGTCTGCCTGTTCCTTCCCATCCCAGGCAGGGACAGGTGTGCCCAGCCTCACACCAAGTCTCCCTGATGCTGCTGGTACTGGGGCCTCTTGCTCCCAAAACCCACCCCTGTGGTGGTGCAGGAGGGAGCACTGCATCATCCGCCACCCAGAGGATCGCCCCCAAAAGCACGCAGATAAAACAGAGACAAAGGTGACTTTGTATTGCTACTCTGGGTGAAATTCCTCTTTTTTTTTTTTTTTTTTTTTTTTTTTTTTTTTAACTGGTGGTGTCTGATGTGCCTTTGCTGAAAAGGTTTCTATTTTGATGAGGACACAAAAGCTTGAATGCTTTTCTGAACCAGTTTGGTGGTAACTGTGAGCTGGGAATTATTCTCACGAGACTTCAGACATGCATAAATTATTAGAAAGAGACATAACCTTGCTATGTAAGCCTTAATTATCATCTCTTGTACTTTATAGTAAAGATGCAACCCCCTATAGCTCCTTTAGGGTCATGCAAATACTCCTCAGATGGTGGGAACTCATGGACTGGTTCTGAGGCCATTTATATTTGCATCTGATTCTGCTCACCCATCCTTATTTCACAGCCAAACACACAACCATCTTTTTCTATAGACTTTAATTCAAAGGTCTCTCAAACCACGGCAGCTGGGAATGCTCTGTTGGAATGACTTTCTGGTGGAAAATCTGCCTTTTATAAAATCAGGATTTCTTTTATGGGAAAATTTCAATTTTGCCAGAAATTTTTGATTTTTCTATTAGGAAAATCAAACTGATGGCTCCATGGCTGCTTGGCTGGAAGGCCCCTGTCGGTTCTGTTGTCGTCTGCAGGGAGAGAGCAGAATTGACAATAGTCTTCCAGGCAGGCAGCTGGGGAGATGCAGCAGGTCTGGAAGAGGGAGGAGGGGAGGTTGAGTGCCCTGGCGCTCTGCCGGCCCTGCAGCCCAGCTGCCTCCCCAGCAGCCAGGCTAGGGGGAAGGCGAAGAGGAGGAGGAGGAAGAGGAGGAGGAGGAGGAGGAGGAGGACAGGCAGGCGCAGGGTGTCCAGCCCGCAGCAGCCTGCCGACAGGGCTGCTGCCGCCTGCCGCTCCCCCTTTTCAGCAGGCAGCTGGCAAGCCCCAAGAAATTCCAGTTTGTTTCCAATGAAAGAGATTTTGATTTTAGTTCTATTTTCTGAAGAGTTCTTCCAAGGGAGGGAAAAAAATAAAAAAATAAAAAGGAAAGAAAGAAAGAAAAAGGTACTTTTTTTTTCCCCTTAATTTGAGAGGAGAATGGGGAGGGATAATTTCAAAATGACCATTTTTTCACAGAAGGGAATTCCTGTGATTTAGCCCTCTCTACCGTATACTGATAGGGAAACAAACAAACAAACAAACAAACACAAACCCTATTATTTCTTACAATAATTCATACACTGTTAAAAGTACAGTGCAGGAAATAAATGCACCTGTGGAGAGGGCCAGCAGAAGAACAGCATTGGTCACATTTAAGATGTATTTGGTGAGTGCAGCGCTGCCTCATTGAGCACCAGCAGTGCCAAAGTCCTACCCAAAAGTCCCAAGGAGCCCTGTGCCTTTGCCCATCACTAGGCAATAACTGGAGAAACAGATTTCAATCAAATCTTGTAAAAGCAAAGAGGAAGTGTAACCGGATTGACAAGCTTTAGCCTGATGCAGTTTGGAATGGCTGACTGATAAATCCTAGAATTCAGGGATTTTTATGGAGTCGGTCATAGACCTTTAAGTGTAACATAGTGAACGTGTCTTGCTATAACATAGATCATAAACTGGCAGCTGAGCTCGTTTCAGGCTGTTTCACAGGCTGCAAAGCCTCTTCCATTGTGTGTTTGTGTGTATTTCTCACCCTTCCTGAATGTGTTCAAGTTATCCTCTATTTAATCCGCGCTGACTACCAGCAGTAGAAGCTGTAGCTATAATGATGAGAGGAAAACATATAGTCACTTTCTGACTCTCTAAAAAGTGTTTAGCCTCAGTAATGAGTTCTGGAGGGCGTCCTTTGAGATTTCACACACAAACACACACAAAAGCGCTCCTATTGTTGCAGGACTCATTATTCTTCAGATCTATGCAGATTTTTCTAAAAGAAAAAGACCAGGAGTTTTGAAATCTTTGAATAATTAAGTTCAGTAAATCAGATAGATGAAAGATTTCAACAAGCACCCTTAAAGAAAAAAAAAAAAAGTTAAATTGCATTTGTCTGCATTCCAATAATCCATCCGTGATTATCCTATAGATACTGTGCAGCGTGTGATTCCAGTATTGATGAAACACCAAAATGTAATGGTAGCAGCGCAGAACAACATCAGCAAAGTAGAAGAGCAAATATGACTTTAATTGTAGGCTCTCTATTATTATTTTATAGTGTAGGCTTTTCGGATAATTTATTAATACTAACAAAGATGAGTGATTTGGAGACTGCATATTTTTTATTTCTAAGGAGTCATTTTATTTGATAATGACATTAAATATTAGAAACTATAACAGCTGGTGTGTTTATCCTTACTTGAGTGTATTAACCTCTTTAGCCCTTTTTTCCAGAAGAAGGATTCAGCATTACAGATTTGACTGTCAGCTGCAGTGCCTGGCGGCCCGTTGGATTGGCATCCTGACAGAATCGAAAGTCCAGTGCTGCAAGTAAACATGGATGACATTGCAGATAGATAGAACTGGCTGACTTGAGGCACCTGCAGCTGTTTGCACCAGAATAAAAGCAAAGGTTGTGGTCGCTGGAGTGGAAAAACACTGAATTTACCTCTAGTTATTTTGCCTGGGAATTTCCCCCCTCCCCCCCCCCCCCCCCTCGCCACCACCTTTTTTTTCCTGGTTGTACATTTTGGAACCTTTCCACTAAAAGCACATTAGGCTGAAATACCTAAGTGAAAAAATCCACCAGACACCGGAGGGTTTTACAACCTGTAATTCTCCCCCCTTTTTTTCTTATATTCACTGAACAGTTTCCCCACCAGTTTCTCCCTGGTAACAACCAGCACTTCACCGGTGTGAATACTGGTTTGCAGCAAAGGATGCAAACACTGAATAGCCATAAGAAATAATTCTTAGCAGCTGATTATTTTTTTTTTCAGTGTTGAATAGCCAGAAACACTTCTCAGCAGCTGATTTTTATTTTTTTATTTTTTTTTCTAAACTTGGCATTCGCACAGACTGCCACAAGTGACAGAACAACAGCAACCCAAACCATTTTGTTCTGCAGAAAAGCTCTTGATCTCTTAAGCATTCCTGCTTCCCAGGACAGGTCCCCAAAGTCCTTAGAAACGAGGAAGGCAGCACTGGAACTTAATAGCTGCTCTCCCTGGTATCCTGCGATCGATCAAATTCCTCACCAGAATATTCATTTCTGTAGCATCGCGGATCTCTGCGTGCTTTACAAACAGCAATTAATTGCCATAATCCCCGGTAAAGGTATTATATCTAGTTCACCAGTAGATAAAGTGACGCACAAAGAGCTTGGGGGACTTGCCCAAGGTCACGCTCTGAGCCAGCGATGATCCGGCAGCAAAGACCGGAGGCCGGGCGGCTGGCGGGGCGATGCGGTGCCGTGCCCGGCTGCGCAGGCTGAGCCACGATCAGCAGCCGAGCCGACGAGGGGGTGGCAGAGGTGGGTACGGCAGACACGAGGTGTTTGATGGCTGGTCTCTTCCCCTCTGCCACCTGCATCCCTTTCCAACATCAGATCATTTACATTTTTAAAGAAAGTGTATTCTTTTTCATCATGGGCCGCTGGTGAGCCTAACGCTATCTTTTGTGCGGCACCCCCGCTAACAGAGGTGGCGGAGTATCAATCACAGCTTTCCCTGGGGTCATACCTTACTATGCTGGCTCTTGATCAGAAAGAAGCAGATGGTTATTTACAAATAAAATAATCAAGACCTCAAGAAGGTTGCTTTTTGTTTTGTTTTGTTTTGTTTTTCCCCCCCCTAAACCCTCCTACAGATGAGGCCAAAATAAGGTAAAGTTGCTAGTGTCCCCTTCTGCCAGCTTTCAAGGACGCTGCCTGTCCTACCAGCACCTTTAAACGCGTTATCAGTTAAATTTGCCAAAGAAACGTGTGGCACCTGACAGAGTAGAGTTGCCTTAGATTATTCAGTGGCTTTCATGAGAATCTGGCACTTAAACCACAATGTGAATTACTGCTAGATTATTGTGCAGGAATATTGTTATCTGCCATACACTCCGTGTTTGCAATCAGTTCTTTACTAGCAATGCACAGACTGCCTTTGAAT